CTTGGAAGCTATGGGGTTAAAATTAGTCAAAATTCAGTTATTAAAATCTTATGTTTCCAAAACTGGAAACTTTCGGGATTTTTATAGAAATTAAGAAATAAAATACACCCCCATTCTGCTAACGGCTTCACTTGACGTGATCCGTTGTTATTTAACAATTTTCAAGTGACTACAAAATATGTAATCTTAACTCACCTATTATTCGATTCGTTATTATTAAAAAAACAAAAATTTATTTACATAAATTTTTGTTTTTTTGTCCGAAAAGTATGCAGTAATCTTTAATATTATTGGCACGTCTGGTATTGAACATTTTATTCTATTAATTAAAAAATTTTGAAGAAAAAAATTTAAAAATTTTTTTATGTATAAATTTTTAGAAAGAATTAATTAAGTAAACAAACTATATTTATCACTTGTAGTTGTTTTAATAAAAGCCTAAATTTTCTACAATAATGCAAGTGCTGGTGTAGAAATATAGTTTGTTTCAAGCTTCGTAAAATTCGTGTTTTCTTTTCATACCCTGCACCTTCGGGAAGAGTTTATTCACTTTGGTATGGAGTTTGTAACTACTTGAAAAAGTTGTCTCTGGTATGGATATGGATATATATTCCGGCTCAGGGGAAAATTCTGCGTGGATTTAGACATAACCGTCCGTCCTAAAAAACTATACGCACGATAACTAAAAAGCAAATAATGCAATCGACACCAAACTTTTATTAATATCAAATTATGTAAAGGTGTGTCGAATTACGTTCTACATATATTCTGAAAATTTTAATGGAATGGCTGCACTAGTCCGGTAGCTTCATGGATTAAAGCTAGATTCATGAAACTCGACAGTCGTGTATCCAATTTTAGAACAGATGTAACCCTGAAATTTTGGTGGAATGGCTTGACAGGTTCGGGCTACTACCATGAAGCTCCAAGAGCTAATATAAAATATTCAAAAAAATAATAGAGTTAGATTCACGAAATTTGTCAATCGCATGTCCAATTATAGGCCACATATATCCTTGAACTTTTGGTGGAAGGACTTAACAGATTCGGGTAGCTGCCATACAACTGCAAAAGAAAATTTTGAATATTTGGAAAAATACTAAAGTTAGATCCATGAAACTTGGCAGTCTTGTCTTCACTTATAGGTCACACATGATATCCGAGAAGTTTCTGATGAGTGGTTTAACAGGTTCGAGTTATTACATTTAACAATGAAAGCTATAACTCTAGATATTTCAAAAACAAATTTTTAAACTCAGATTGCCAAAGTGCAGGTTTGATGTGTTTTTTATTGTTTATTACTTACATTTTGTAAAATTGAACTGATATCATATTGTTTATTGAAATAAAAATTAATTGATACTTATATGCATTATATAGCTAAGTTTTTAAAATTGTTATACAAAGTTATTTTTCAGTTTAATTCCCTTATAAAAACTTCTCGGCATGGCTGCATAACAAAATAAATAATTTTTAAAAATTTATCTATCGTGTATGACCCAGGTCAAATATAAAAGAAATCAAGATCTTCACAGTGCTTACTTTGCATAACATGTTTAAGACAGTAATAAGCGTATTCCTTTGGAATTTTAAATCTCTCTCTCTTTCTTAATTGGTAGGACAATACAATTTTCAAATATATCTTAAATACAACTCTGATAATCTCGAATTTATTTAAAATTAGTTAACATAATCAAATGTCATAAAAAACTTCGCTGACCTTGACGAAACTGAAATATGTTACCTGTACTGAAAAATATTTCTGAGTAGACATACTTAAAAACGTATTCATTTTTTATAGAAGAAAATTTTAAAATGGTATTTATTGCTTATAAATATAATTTATTTAATATACTAATTCTTTACGCTATATTCGAAACAATAAATTGTAATCATATAGATATTTTGTTTTTTTTTTTCATTAACGATTTTTTCAGGAGATTAACTAAAATATAGTTGAAACTTCAACACTTCGAATACAAAAACACAAAAAAATATTTTATAAGATGGTTATTATATTCTGAAAGTCCAAGCTATTTCTACTTAAATGGAAGCGATTATAAAAAAGGAACATAATACTATTTATAAAATAAATTTATTCAGGCTTATATATGTAGGTTTTTATGCACAATATTCAAAATGAGGAGAAATTACAACGTACAATATGAAATATGTAAAACCGTATGCAATCAAATTCTCGTAGGTAAATGGAAATAATTCCCTACATTCTGACTATTTTCAAAAATATACTACAAATGAAAATCTATACAATTTTATTCTATATACATATGTATATTCTACTTTGCTTATTTCAACATGGACTCTGTTAATCGTAATATATTTGTATTGAAATTATTGCGATAAATAATAAATTAAAAATTTTCAATATGCGAGAAAACAAAAGAAACACAACCTGTACCCTAACGCAAACTAATTCGTACACTGAGAAAAATTGTATCTAAATTAGATATTTTTTATAATCAGAACAAACACAAACTATATCCGACAACCACACTTTATACCTAGTTTTGAAATAAATGTATTTCCTACCACTTTATTTTTAATTTGAATATAATTCATAGCAGTTTTAAAAATATAAAGTTTTCAAATTAGTTGAACTTTTGAGCCGTTTATGAAAATAAATTATCTAGTTAGATAAAAAAATATTTCTGAATGGACCACAATAAGATCGTTTTTAAATATAAAAGTGTATCTCAAAGTGTACACCTTATTTCATATTTTAATACATAAAATAGCTATAATTTTATCTTTATTACAACATTTATATATCAAAATTGGGCTATTTACGAAATTGATATGCATTATATCTCTTTTAGCCTTTATTTTATCCATATAACTGAAATAATTATAGTCCGTTTGATTATAAGAAGCATTAAAAAATATGTTTATTTTATATAAGCTGTCCCTCGATATACGTCGGCTCTGAGTTTTCGATATACGTTTTTGGTTTCGGCCCAACACGGTGTATATTGATGGATTGCTGTATTTTATTTTCGAAGCAAAAATATGACCTTTGAAAAGGTTTATAAACACTTTAGATATAGGTTTTTTTTAGTGTATTATGTGTTTTTGTGTGTGTTTGCGTTTTCAAAATAAAATACACAGTTTAGAATATTAAAACCTTTTTTTTTATTTTTCTCTTTGAAGCCATTAACATATTTATCAGAACTATTTTAAAAATTAAAATTTCATCTTGACAAAAAAATCTCTTAAAACTTTTATTTTAATTCCTAATTTTGACCAATTTTTTTGTATTCTCCAAAGTACATACATATATTGACATTTAATTGCCGAATGTTGTCATGCCAAAATAATTGATACAAAAATGATTTGTTAATTTAAAAGTATTTCATTCAAGGAAACAATAAAATAAATGCATCATTGTTGAACAAAGTGTTATTTTGTATTTTTTACCTCAAATACAAAATTAATTTCATAAAATTGTTAAATATGAAATAGGAATGATTTTCTTTTAATTATAAAAAATTATTTATGACTTTTTAAAAAACAAAACTGAGAGACAGGGACGAATTAATTAAAATCCAATTTTCTTTTTTAAGCTAAAATACATTCAAAAAATATTAACAAAATTTCAAATATAATTAGCACATGAAATTTCATAAATATTTTTAAGACAAACAACAAAAAAATTAAATTTATTTTTTAGACTTTTAAGTTGAACATTTTCTTTCAACTAGTTTTATATGTCAACGGTATAAAATACTGAACCAATTTATGACCGATGTCACCACTTTTTCATACTTTCATAATTTAATAAAGTGTCTTGTTCGTTTTTGATGTGGCAACTTTCTAGGAAGCTAGTTTTTTTCTCCCAGTTTTTTTATTTTAAATTAAATATTCCAAAATATTATAAAAAAAATTATGCCGTGTATTTACCGAACTTCTACACCTTTTAACATGAACAGACACAATATAGGGTGTATTTGTAACCCCGGTGGAAATGTAATTACTCTAGAATAACATTTTTACATACACCACCTGCCTTTCGAATTAAGCTCCTTTAAAGTGAAAATAGAAGTGTCTATTGTAACTAAAGTAGAGATAAATTAATGTGGACTACTAATTATCCTAACAGCACGCAATTTTACTTATATTTGACTTTTTTCAGATTTTTTAAGAAAAATATGATATTTTTTTATTCAAATTTAAATATCAAAGTTAACTATTTTAACTATTATGTTAACTATTTTTTAGAAACTTTAACTTTAAAATTTCCTTCAAGAGTTTTAGTATCTCTGGGTAATTTTCAATGAAATATATAAAATATTTCTTCAATGCGTTTTAAAATATAATATAAATTATAATATGAATATTGTGTATTCATTTTAAATAAGTTTTTTAACAGTTAAATTCTCACTTACATATATATATCTTCATTGTATTTGTTTTGTATAGATCTGTGTTGAAATGGGGTTATGTTGTTTTGTGTTATACTTTTGTTACAATCAATAATTCAAAACACGTGGATAAAAAATACATTTAATATGACTCAGAAAAAAAACACTTGAAAATTACAAAAATCTTATGTCAATTAAAACCAAATAAATTTTCAAAGATAATAATGAAATATTTTCAACTGTAGAGTTGTTTTTAATTTTTGAAAATTATTAGCAATTTTTTTTAAATGCAATTTACTCAGTACTCCAACAACTTTTTTTAATAGTAAGCTTAAAAATTTTAAATTGTTCTAAAAATTTTTGGACACTATAAAATTCATTTTATAAATCTCCATTTTTTTTATTTAAAATAACACACACATTCACGCACAAATTCGCTGATTTTATTTATATTTAAAAATAATTTTTAAATTTATTTTTTTGTCAATCACCCCACAAAATGTAAACACATAATTAAAAAATATATAATACTTATACATATAACACCTTATATTTTGAAAAATTCTTGAACTTTTTTCCTATACATATTTGTTTTATATTTATTTTTTTTTTAATACTTACTTCTTTCAATTTTAGTCATACTCATACCACGACCGGTTTTTCGCCACTGATGATACCAACCTTTTGAACGAAAAAGTTGAAATAAATTACTGTTATGATATGCTGTGTCGCTTCCGCCACCACCCCTTTCGATTTCTGAGGAGCGGCATGATGATGAATCCTCAAAACTTGAACTACGTCGCTTATTACGACGAAAACATACACAGCTACGTAACATTTCAAGTATTTAAAAATGTCGAACTGAAATTACAAAATAATTTTTTTTATTTTATTCCATTTTATTCTTTTGCATTATATACGTGTAATAAAAGTTTATAGCTTAAGTTTAAGTCTATGTTTTCTATAATCTATCAAAATATTGCTAGACAACCTTTTCAGTCTTGTGAAATATTTCTTTTTTGTTATAAAATTTTTGCATACAATATATTTGTAATTAATTAGATAAAGAAAGGACTTATTCAATTATTATTTGGATATTGGTATCTTGAATAGACAGTGGCTTATAACTTCCGTGACTTCAATAATGCCTTATAAAAAGTTTAAGTACAGTTTCCATACGGTTGTAGTACCGTCTCAGAGCTGTCAAAACTACTAAAGCTTTTGACACATTTTGGAATACAATGTTTACAATATTAATACATATTTTGACGTTTGTTTAAATATTTCAATTTAAAGTTCCGTGCAAATGTTAATTTTTAAAAAACGTCACTAAATCATAAAAACATAGTATTTTTATGCTGCATTTTGGGAAAAAAACTTAATAACTAGCGTTTTTTTACTGAAAATGAATGCTAGCTTATTTAATTGGTTATATCTGACAACATTTATATGATATGTATAAGAAAAACGTGCTTGATTTTTTCGATACCCAATTTACTTTTATTTACGTATTTCGGAAAAGTGCACAAAGTCAATAGCTTTTACTAAACTTTTTGAAATGTGATACTTGGTAAATTTATGTCGTGTTACTTCACAATTCAATTTAAAATAAAATACGATAAAAAGTCTTAGACAAAAGAACTATAGTAGACAGTGTCAATGTAATATGAAATAGTATTTTATATTTATTATAAAAGAAATTTGCCAAACTGTATTTTAATAAAAGAATCCCTACAAATTTATTACGTACTTAATAAGTATTAAATAGCAAATGCACATTGAAATTCAAACATAAAATTGAATCTGTCACAAATTGAGAAATTTTTAAATTTTGTTAAATTTCATAAAAAATTAAATTAATTAAAAATCTTATAATAAGTTTTTGCAGATTCTCACATAAAATAATCAACGCACAATATATTCACTTTTAAACAAAATTACAATTATTGTAAATTTACAATTATTGTAATAGTTTTAAGAAAAACAGCCACAACAACCTTTTTTCAAACCCTATTTTAGTTAGATCATAGAACTCTGCAAAACAACAAATTTTCTTGCCAATATTAATTAGTGATGACTAAAAAGGCGAGTCAAAGAAAATGAAATAAATAAAAACCAATGGTTTGTTTTGTAGCACTTTTCCCTTTAACAAGTGAAAATTCTGCTTTTTAATACAGTCTATGTATACCTATTACACTATTAAAATTATTTTTATTCAAATACGAAACTATTTCTAGGATTGCATATATTTAGGATGACACATATAGGCAGTCTTTGAAATAAAGCAAAAATTAATATAAAGTGGGGTTAACATAATGCTCGATTGTAAGGTTTAATTATGTGAATTAAGAAAAATAATTATATTTTTTAATGTCATGGAATTTACCGTTTACTTTTTGCGTTTATAGAAATTTGAAAAAGCTTGCGGTTTCGGAAATATAAGGTGTCAAAAATTCAAATTTTACAAATTTCAAGAGGCGATAACTTGAGAGGGGGTGGAGATGGAAAAAAATTTTCTTTTAACGAAATGAACTATTTGTCAATATCTAAAAGTCCCTTAAATTTCAAGCTTCTACAGGCTGCGGTTTATAAGAAAAACGAAAGCAAAAATTTGGAAAAAAAGGACTTTAGATAACGGTAAATTTGGACGGCCATTTTGTTTTTAGAAAGTTTAACTATAGTATACCGCGCTAGGGGAAGCAAGCCACTGCCTTTTTGCGTTTGAAAAATTTCAAAAATGCTTATAGTTTCATTGCAACGAATAGTTAAAAAAGGCCATTTTTAGGGTTTTAGGGGGGTATAACTTCTAGAGGGGGGGAGATAGGTAAACATTTTGTTCAACGGAAATAAATTTCTAGTAAAGATCTATATACATATTCAATTTCAGCTTTCTATCTTCAAGGGTGTAGAAGTTTTGTAAACAAAAAAAGTGTCCACAGACGGACGGACTGATTGACGGACGGACGGACGAACAGAGTGAAACTAATAAGCACTTTTTTTAAAAAATATTTGGAAAAGTGCTAAAAACTAAGAAAATGACAGAAAAGGTAAAAGTAAATAATGGGTAACGACATTTTGTGTCATATTATAAAAAAAAAAGAAAAACTAATTTTTCAACTATTAAAAGTATTGCGAGGTAAAATAAAAATTTTTAAAGATAGATTTAGGTAATAATTTTTCCATTCCATCTAAAAACGAATAAATTCTAGTTTGCACACATATTTACAGCAGTTATGTATATTTCTTTCACATTAAAGAATGTACAAACAGACAACGATTTCAAATAAGTTGTTTAATAAAATAAAAACCAATTATTTGGTCATTGTACTTAAGATCTTAAATTTATTTAGTTTATTTACGTAAACTACTATATGCATAATATAATCTAAAATATATTTAAGTATTTGTATGTGTGTTCCTATTAAAATGATAATGTAAAGAAAATGTTTTTAAATGAAAAAACTTTTATTGTACTATAGTTGTAATTGTTATTTTCGAAATTCTAAGAAAGGATAATGGCTTTTGTACTGAAATAAATGCTAACAAACAACTAAGAAAGAGTACCCAACAAGAAAAATAAAAATGGAAAAAGAAACTTGCTAATTACTATTTTTCTTTAAAACTGTAATGAATTACAAAAAAGATCCCATAACGTTCTTCTCTCTTTTCCTGAATTATTAAAAAAGAATTTTTTTATATGTGTATATATGAAGATATATGTATATATAATGTAAAATGAATTAAGTTGTAATAGAGCAATACTGCTAAGGGAATATAGAGATTAACCTATAAGATTTTTTTCAAGATGATCTAAACTTGTGTATGAAAGTTTGGACGGGAGCTAATGAAATACTTATTTTCTATTTATACAAAAATCAATAAACGACCTATAAATTATATTCCAAAAAACTCATTTACTAGGATTTTCATATAAAAAATTCAGAAGCGAATTTTTTATTTTGTATTTCTATATTTTTATATTTTTGTTCGATATCCTTTCAATTATTATGCATACACAGGTATTTACATAACATGAGTTATATGTGTAACTAATTATGAAAACATCTTTATAGAACACAAATATTCATTAAACTAAACAAGAAAATAAAAAAATCAAATTAATAGACTGTTTTCAGATAAGAAGAGTGTAAAAATTTTTATTTAAAAAATGTATGACAGAAATTAATTATAGAAATTAATTATTCCATCTCATATAAAATAATAACTATACACATATGTATATATAAACATTCTACATAATTCAATATGACGCAAAGGCGCGGTCCTTGGAGCCTTAATTTCATGAATTGAAAATTAATATTTTCGTATCTTTTTATTTTATTTTTGCATTTTATTCATTTTAATAATTGTTTTTTGTAATTGATATATAAACCAAAATTATTAATGTAAATATTTAATTAGCTTTCGGTTTAACGAAACATATAAATATTTACAAAAGTAACGTATGTATGAAATATGCATATACATATTATGTATATATTGGTTATAACGTAAATTATATACAAAAACACCCATATACCGAATATAACATACGAGATATTAAGATTTTCAATTAGCAAGCAATCATAATATTCATTATGTACTCGTACCGGTTTGTATGCCGTGCTATTTTTATGTTATACTCATAATCAAATTTATTTATTTTTTTATTTATTTATTTATTTATCTTTAGCTTAAAAATTTTACATAACTTAAAATTAAAGAATGCATATCCTGATACATATTTTTCAGACAGAACAAATTTTCGACTTAAAAATTAAATTTAAAAAATTATACAAAATAAGACTTATTGGTATTAGTACCCCATTAAATATGAGTATAAATAATGAAAAACTAAAACAAGAATTTGTTAAAATAAAGAAAAGGGTTATACTTAACTATAAGTAAATAGAAGCTTTTTCATCGTGTCTTTCTTCAGTGAAAAGTCTGTGTTTTTGTTTGTTGCATAAACGCAGCATTCTGCGTTTATGCAACAAACAAAACAACCTAAACGCAGGTTCGTGTTTCCCATAATTGGTCCTATGAAAAGATCAGGGGAACGCGACCTAAAGTTAGAGTTAATCACAATTTTATTTAAAATGTCGAGAGAGAATAGGTCAGTGATCATAAGCTGAAAAATTAATAACGAATCTGCAACATCACGTCTTTTGCCCAGTGTGGCTAGGTCAATTATTTTAAGCCTGTGTTCATAAGGTGGAAGAATGATGGGGTCTTCCCAAGGGGGAAGGAGCAGTGCGAACCTCAAATAATCAATCCTATTAATATTTATATCGTAATAGGGCGACCATACTTGTGAAGCATATTCAAAATGAGGACGGACCAGGCATGTATAGAGCGATTTTAAGATATAAAGATCATTAAACTCCTTTGACCAGTGTTTAATGAAACCTAACATCGAGCTTAATCTGCATATGATATGATTGTAGTGGTTTATGAATGATAACTTGCTATCGAAGCAAACATCCAGGTCCATTATTGAATCAACTGGACTAAGAGCTTGGTCATTCAAAGTATAGTTTGTAAAAAGTGGCCGTTTTTGCCTAGAGTAGCATTTTTGTGCACATTTCATTTGGAGCACATTTGTGCACAACTTACATTGATTTTTAGGTTATTACTTGAAAACCATAGAAGCGGTTAAGATCATTCTAAAGATACATCGCATCATTTGAAGAGCTTATTTTTTTGAAAATTTTGATGTCATTAGCATACATTAATACCTCACTGTCCGTTAACATGGAAACGACATAATTAATTAAAATTATGAACAGCAGTGGACCTAAGTGACTACCCTGGGGTACACCAGAATTACACGAAAGAGGCGAAAAAATTGCTGAACAAAA